GATGCAATGAAAAATTATTGCTGAATCCCTTTTATACGCGATAGAATGGATACTTTTGATACCTTTGACAACACTAAAATAAACTACTACTAAACTAAACTAAACAAATGACAAATATTGCCTCAACTAACTGAAATAAAAAACAAAAACTAAAATCAAATTGGATTTCAAATGAAAATTCAAAGTAAGCATGGTGGCATGGTGATTAGCGCTGTTACCTCACACTTTTGGGAACAGGGTTCGAGTCTCTGCCGTGGCTCCATGTGTGTGGAGCTTGCATGTTCTCCCTGTGTCATTGTGGGGTTTCCTCTGAGTATTCCGTTTTCCCCCCACAGTCCAAAAACATGCTGAGGCTAACTGTAGTTACCAAATTGCCTGTAGGTGTCAATGTGTGAGTGAATGGTGTGTGAGTGTGTCCTGCAATGGGATGGCACCCCATCCTGGGTTATTCCCTGCCTTTTGCCCTTTGCTTCCAGGATAGGCTCTGGACCTCTGTGACCCTGCATATGACAACTAGGTAAAAAAAGATGGATGGATGGATTAAAAATAAAAATAACAACACTGATGTTAGGACGTAGGGTACAGTATATGGCGTTGCTGCTGTAATCGTATTTTGTCATTTTATTATTATTTTATTTTCATTCTGGGAGTCTTTATAATCCTGTAGCGAGGAATAATACACAGGAATCATGGTTGTATACAATCTTTGATCCAATCTCCTTGTTGAATTTCTGCCAAATTTCCCCTGGCCAATGAACAATCAAGGTATGTTTGCGTCACAAAATGGACCAACCTCATTGTTTCAGTTTTTGAGTTGTATGCACCCTCCCGCACAGCATCTCACTGCGGTCCTCATGGCTGATCACAGCAGTGTGTTGAGTGGCACATCTGTGTCCATGGTAAGACCTGCTCCTGTCTGGGCTGCAAGCATGCCTCAGGGCCCTGCTGAGTCAGCATGTGGCTGTGAAGGTAGGAGATTGCCCCCCCCACCCCCCCCAAAAAAAAAAACACAGTGGTCATGGCCTGGCCTGGCTCTGCCTGTGATTTCGGCCATCTTGCCGCAGGATACCAGGACCACAGGACAAGATTCTCAGAACACTTGACCCTGCAGCTGACTGAGCTGACCATGTGGGATATAGCCAATCAGGGGTCCGTCCTGCTCCCTTTCTTGCCGCTGCTGTAATTAGTGGTGATGATTCAGAGCCCTGGCATGATGGTGAAAGTGACAGAATTTGCTTCATGCACAGTCCGGTATGATCCATAAAACCCAGATCAGACCACGTTTCTAATGGCTGCAGAGCTGAAGACCCGGATGAGAGCTGAGCACATTTGAGCTGAGGTGCCATCCATAACATTGATCTTGCTGGCAAGCGAGGTGTCATCTCAGTGAAGCGCTGATCCCAGATCAGCCGGCCTCTTGTTTGCCATCTGGAGGATCACGATTAAAACACTTGAATGTCCGTCGGAATGCTGATTCTTGGGAGCATATCTGACTTGCTGACGTTGCCCCCCACAAGGAGGGAGTGGCTTGTTATATACTGCGGGAAGCTGGGGAGTGTTTGTCTCTCCCGTGTGGCAGATGAGTGAATGGGCAAGGGGGCAGGCTCTCACACAGCTCGATGGGACCCCCCCGCCCCCAAGTGTCAGCCTCAGAGACTCCATGTTTGTACACCGTGAACGGGAACGATGTGGATCGGCGCATGCCGTCACGCCCGGACGCGTGAGTGTTGCACTGAGTGAAGCTGGGGGCGGTGATGCCCAACCGCTGGCCAGATGTGGAGGCGGCTCGCAGAAGAAGCTGCCAGAGATGGGCCCATGAGAAACTGGGGCATGTTGGGAAGCTGCTCTCGGTTTTTCCCAGAAACTCCACGCCTTCCGAGATCCAGGCTCTGCTCCATGCTCTGCTGAGTCACCCTGTTCTCACACGATGCAGCTTTTGCCTGGACCCCAAGTGCTCCTCCATTCCTTAATACTTCTCTCCACAGTTGCCGCCCCCCCACACCCCGAGCACAACTTTCAAGCGGGGGCAGTAATACACCGCAGCACTGGGGAGGGGGGGTGTCATTTCCAAACCAGCAGGAATTTGGCTACCAGGCCCCGTAATGTATTCAAGATGAGCGGGACTTTACGGAAACCCCCCCCATCCCCGCCTTTAAAAGCACCACTCCTCTCGCTCAGCCGGCAAACACAGAGCCGGAGGAAGAGCCGTACGTGTCCCATCCTGCACCGCAGCAGCCATCCCCTGCCTCTCCGAGCCACTGGCCGTTTACAGCAAGGACACAGACGGGGTGCTCTGGCATGTTTGTGTGGGGTAAGCGGCCGGCTGGGCGGAGAACGGCTATGGTTCCAGGGGCCGAGATGACGGGAGTCCTGTGCATGTCACGATCAGGGCGGGCTGGCATCTCTGTCCATATGGGGGCCTTAAGCATCCATCCCATTTCTGGATGTGTGTGTGGGGGGGGGGGACTTGTATGTGAAGCTATATTCATAGCGACCTGTAAAATAATCCAAGGAGCCATTAGTGGCTGATTTTGGGATTTTAATGAGTTCAACATTGTCTAAGCACTCCCCCCCCCCCCCCCCCAAAATGTGTGATCTGTCTAGTCCAGTCTGCTCTTAGGGCTGGCTGCTCTTCTGTGCCATTAGTCTGCATGAGTGTACGTTTCCACACGCTCATGCGTCACCATCCCCCCCACCCCCCCAGGTCACATTTATTGCTGTTGGGGATTGGTGCCGGCCAAGATGAATTTCGGGGGAATGAACGAGAAAGCAAGTGAGGCAGCTTCCGGTGCCTCATAAAGTGGGTTGCAGGTCACAGGTCACGGGTCTAGACCGGCCAGCACCCCCGGCCCATCTGCATTTTCATTGGCTGTGCTCTCCTGTTTTCCATAACAGCGGGTGTGACTCTGTGGGTGTGACTCTGTGGGTGTGACTCTGTGGGTGTGACTCTGTGGGTGTGACTCTGTGGGTGCGTGTGTGTGTTTGTCCCATGCGGGTGACTGTGTTATTGAATTCCACAAGAGGCAGACAGGCTGTTGGGCTCCAATAGTCACTGAATCATCATGCCTTTCAGTGCATCGGAAATGTTTAACAAGTGAAAAGGTGGGAGATGTTTCCTGTTGGTCCGCAGTGGGCAAGGAGGGGCAGTTTGGTCAGTGCTCACGTTGCCATGGTGCGTCTGTGCTGAATCAGTGTGGTCTGTTTTCTCAGTGAGTGAGTAAGACTTGGCACTGGGACAGGGTGGTCCTTGAAGCTGTAGAGGGATTGTGTGTGAATTTACTTGCCTTAATAATCCCTGTATAGCCCAGTGGTTCTGCGCATGAGTGTGGTTAAGAGAGATTGTGATTAATCCATGCCTGCTGTCTTCCACAAAACGGGTGACAGAAAGACTGACAGAGACAATGACAGACAAACAAATGGGCAGACAGAGAAGCAGACAGACAGACATGCCGACCAACATAATGACTTGGGAAGCATTTCTCTCCACCTGCGTGTGACGGACTCCAGTCATTTTCTTCTTTCTTAATTTTCTGAATTTAGAGGGTGAGTTGAAGGCCATTCCTTTTGTCTGTGTGGAAACCCCCAGCACGGGAAAAATTGCAGAGCAATTACCATATCGGAGTCAGCGGGAAGTCCAGTACTTTCTGATATTTATAGCCGAACATGTGGAACCTGTAGTGAGGGAATCCTGGCATGAGGATGGGCGATCTGGCCATTGATTTGGGGAACATCCCTCCTCTGACATCAGCTGGAAATGTTCCTGCTTCGCAACCATAACAGGTGTCAGCGTGGACCTTGAATTCAGCTCTCTGCCTGGCTTTGCTTTAGTACTGTTAGTAATAATGTCATTATTGCCTTCTGTCTCGGCACCTAACTCTCACAGTCTGTCAGCAGGGTTCTTACATGAATCATGTGGGTGTCTCCGCCCTTTTCCATTTCACATGGATCTCTGCTGCCGTTCCAGGCAGACGTCCGGCGGCTCCATCGAGTTGGAACCCCGTTTTAAGTGCTGCATTTGTGAAGCCCCTCACATGAACATTAAGTGGCCAATGATTATGGGGGGTGGTGGTATTTGATTTTATTTTATTTTTATTTATTTTTTTAAAAATTGAAAAATAAATTAGTTACACAACTGCAGAACAAATATTGTTTTTGTAAATAAATATTTAAACTCAAAATATTAATCACACTTTAAACAAGGGTATGCAGCGTTTTGAAAGTAATAGGAAATAAAACAAAAACAGTAATTTAACCACATTCAATGCTCTCTTTGGCGTTTCATGATTCAGTTTATGACAAAACATGTTTGAAAACAGATTTATTCGGCTTTGTGGTGATTCATGTTATTCATCAAGGGAAACTGGTGAAGGTGGGAGGAATTTAGAACTCTTACCTTTGGTTGTCGTGCAGGCTCACTGCTGTTGGTGAGGATAAGGCACGCTACAACACTGCCGACGTGAGTGCTCCGCGTGGCATGTTGGTCAATCACACGCAGCCACATGCACCCATCACTATATTGCCATAAAATACTTAAAAATTGAAAATCGTCGGGTTTTTTTTGGGCCAATGGATAGGTTGACCCAAGCATAGCTCATGAGTATTTGGAGGCTTGCTGCCACCCCCCCCAACCCCTAAGCAATGGCAGGTACAGTCTTGCAGCATCTGCAAGGCATTCTGGGGGTTTTCCATGGCCGCCGTCTTCCATCTGGGTGAAGGTGGACAAGCAGCCTGACAGCGAATCCCGAATCTGGGATCTGGGAAGGTGGGGGCCGTGGGGGACATCAGGGGAAGAGCCTACATGGCTGTCAGAGTGACCCAATGAAGAGATGGTTTAGGAGAGGGTCTAAAAGAGACTAAGTATAGCGTGGGGGGGCTTTTTCTGAAGCACTGCCCTGTTTTGTGCTGTCGGGGTGTTCTGAGGCGTCCCGTGGTCTCTTTGGCCCTGGCCTCCTGACCTCACACCCATTCCCCCCCCCCCTCTGTCTCTCTCTCCTGTACAGGTGGTGGCTTGATGGGGAACTCCTCTGCCTCCTTCATGGGCACGTTCCTCACCAGCAGCCTGAGCTCCCCAGCCTCGCACTCCTCGGGTCCCCCCACATCGCCCTCCTCGCCATCCTTCCGGGGGGGCACGCACTCCAACGCCTCGCAGATATGGTTCCCCCACTCCCATGATGGTAAGCAAACTTCGGCAGGCTCCACACTTCAGCTCCTCAGGGGAGGTGAGGGGGGAGGGGGGGGTCACTGTGGGGAGAGGAGGATTGTGCCTCCCCACCCAGGGTACATGCATCTCCGAGACGGGACAAGCTGAGTGAACGCAAGGGAGAGTGACGGTTATATTAACTGCTGTTGGCAAGAGAGAGAGAGAGAGAAGGGCAGAGGTGGCACAGCCATGATGGGCCACACATGAGCACACCCTCCCCCAGTGATCATTCAGACTCCGGCGGCCCCTGATCAATGTCCACTAATACTAAAGGCCACAATGACGACCGCAGCCCAGGTCGACCTGCTGGTTCTGGTTCGGCGATAAATGCGTCACTCGTGTTGCTCAGCACCACAGAGGGAATTGGTGCCCTCTGCCCCCCACCGCACGTGCAGCCTGATGCATGTCGCCCATCTGCCAGGTCCCGTTGAATGTGGTGGGTGGGTGGCACCCCCAAAACAGACCGCGAGAGGATGCGCGAACGGCTCACGTTACCCCCATCAGGTGAGGAGACCACCAATAGACCATATCCTGCCCCACCAACTGCCAGTCCCTGTAGGGGGGCTGCCTGTGGTGGCACGCTTGCTGCCTGCCTCTCTCTGGAAACTGCCTGCGTCTCTCCTCAGTCACCAGCAGTGCGCTGGAGAGGGTGGGGAGAGGTGTGATGTTTGTCCATAGTGACGTCCCGACCCGCGGTCTGCCCGCCACTGCTAAGGGCCCCGCAGGCCCCATTGGGCACGAGCTTGCTAACTGTTGGCACTCCTCCATTGATAAAAGGGTCTCAAACAACAGATGATTCACCACAGACTGGTTTCAAACCCCCCAACCCCCCACATCTGGGATTTCCGGAAAACACCGTGCTTTAGCCACTGCTGTTCTTCACAAACCGCGTGTTCCGGGTCAGCTCCCCCCCCCCCCAGGACGCGGGGGGAGGTCCTGCCCTGTGGCTGGCTGTGGTGGGTTGAAATGATGACACGTCTGCTGGGATTAACCCCCCCCTCCCCCAAGGTCACGTACTGAGCTAAACGCGGGGGGAGCGGCTGTGTGGCCGCAGTGCTGGGGCACCATCTTCGAGGAGAAATGGGAGCCCCATGGGGACCTTAGGACACAGAAGAGATAGGGAGTCGTAATCTCCCAGTCATTGCACTACTCATTGTACTCTAACACAGAGACAAAGAGACACACACACACACACACACAGATGCAGACACAGACACACACACACAGAGATGCAGACACAGACACCCCACGCACTCCTGGCTTAGTGGAATCCACTAGCTGAATGAGGTGACGACGTAGTTCAGGCTAACGCCAGCAGCTCTGCAATTAGAAGCTCAACACCCCACGACCCCCCCAGATGCCTCCTCTCCGGGCCGCGCACCTTTGTCTCTAGCCAACCAGGAAATCCCATGGAGAACAAGAGCGAGGGAGGCTCCCAGGACCCAAGCTGTCATCCGTCAAGCCCCCCATCCCCCCAGCAGCTCTTTCACTAGGCTGCTTTGTTCTCGTCATAGTGATACCACAGAGACACGCAGTATCAGAGAGACACGTTTATAAGGTGTACAGGGTAAAAGGTGGGGGGGGGGATCCAGAGGCATGTGGGGATCAAGCCACCAGTCGAATGGGATTCTGTGATTTTGGGATTTAGCCCTACAGAGGCCTGGTACCTGCGCAACAGTTTGGGGACCTGCAGAGGCTGAGCTTCTCAGGGTCTACAGTTCAACCCTAGAGAGGGCCATCTCTGTTTCTGACCCCCTCACCTACACTGTCACCCCTGACATCCCCGTCTGTCTGTGGCCCACCTGGGGTCTCCTCCCCGAGGCCCTGCTGCTCATCCTTGTGCTTGGTCCTGGGACGGAGCTGATACATGGACAACTGTGTCAGTTTTCTGCCTTTTCTCCCCGAAGGCTTGCCCCGTTTTTCAGGGAAACACACTGTTCTCTAAACCGATGCTCTATAACTTACCTTTACAAGGTAGTTTATAGTAATGGGGCTCCTGAGAGGGGTGTGGAGCGGGGGGGGGGGATACTGTCCTCGCAGCCTCATTACATGAGCACAGGCAGATGAAAGGCAGATCAGCACAGCTGGATGAAAAAACTTTGCTCTCCCTGGGAGGCCCTGCATGGGGCGGGGTGGGGGCAGGGGTGTTAGGAGGAGGAGGGGAGGGGCAAAAGGCCGGGGGGTGGCAAGCTCTGCTTCCCACAGGCTATAATGGGCCTTCAGGAGAAGCGGCGAATTTCTGCCGATATTTCTTACTGTAGAAATATGTCATTTTCTGTAAATTAGTTGCCGATATGGCATATCATGATAAGCAGATGCATGAAAAATAAATGCTGGTCTCCCTTTAGGAAGCGGCTAGCACATGCCACCCTGAGAACCCCTCCTCCAAACATGTCTGGCCCTGGGGGCCCACGGGGGCCCTTTGCTGCAAGATGACTCTCCTCTCAGTTGAGGGTACACTCTTCCACTGAGGTTTCCCCCATGGTCCAAACCTGCCATCACATCACTCTGCATTGGTGTGGAGGGGGGTGTGTGTGCTACCCCGATACGGCCGCTGTCACATCTGCCACAGATGTCTCAGTGAAGGAGCATGAATCTCTGCCAACCTCTGACCTCCTCCTGTGGGCAGCCTGGGCAGCAGCCCTGTAATTTCCCAGTTTACTGAGCTGTAGACGGCCTGCTTTATTGTCAGGGTGGGTATGGACAGTTCACAGCTTAGTAGTTGATTAAGTTTCTCATCTGGACTGTTTTTGCCAGCCCCAGGGTATGCCCGCTTCTCAGGGAGCCTGGCGCACACCTTCCTTCCCATGAGCCACCTGGATCACCATGGGAACAGCAGCGTCCTATATGGCCAGCACCCCTTCTATGATGCCCAAAAAGGTGAGTACTTTTAAGATACTTTGATGTGTTTTAGCAAAATTAGCATTTATCTCCATTCTTAGTGCCCATTCACATTGGACTCTTCTGTCATTTCGTCCAGAAAACTTCTATCTCAGAGGCCTTCCGTCCCAGCAGCCCCTCATCTCAGCCAATCACAGCCTCTCTTCTGTCACCCGGACGACCAGTGGACAGCCACTGCGGTCATGCAGTCGTGAGCACAAAAGCCTCAAAGAGGCAACGGCAGAGAGGCTCTCCGTTGGCGGCACCAAAGACAAGGAGAGGGGCGGCGGCAAGCAGGAGGCGAAGGACAGGGAGCGCCACAAGCAGCAGCAGCCACAGCCAAACGGGCACAGCCTGGAGGAGGAGACAGCCCTGGTGAGGCACAAGGCCGTGCTGGCTGGGGAGTGTCGGGAGCCCCTGGAGAGCAGGGCCAAGCAGCTCAGTGCCTGCCTGCTGAGCTCCAAGACGCCGGGCGGGGAGCCACCTCTGGGCAGGCACCCAGGGGCCGCAGGGGCCACTCGCTGCTCCAAGGAGGCCATCAGTCGAGAGATGCGGATCAGCGAGCCGCCAGCTGACTGCCTGCAGAGGGCACCGGTGCTGCAGCACTCAGTACCGTACCCCATGCCTCCATCCGTGGGCTCCGCCGCCAACCCTGGGGGCTTCCACTGCCTACCCCTGCACCCAAGCCACAGCCACCACCCCCCACATCCCCCGTACCATTCGGAATTCTACAGCCCACCCCCACCGGCACCTCTCGCCAACCCCATCGTGCAAGAGAAGGCCCTCCAGCCTAAGCTCACTGGGCCCACTTTCGTGCCATCCGTGGGCCACCAAGACAACAGGGCGGGCAGGCCCTTCCAGTTGGGGAACCCCGACTGCCGGAGGGCAGGAGATGCAGGTGGCATCAAGGACAAGGTGGTAGAAAAGGGTGGCGGCGAGGGGGCGGGAGGCGGCAGTGAGGGGGCTGGCAGCTGGCCCCGGAGACCACACTGGCAGCAGCAGGTGTACCCCAAAGCCGACAAGGCCCCTGCCTGGCCCCATCCGCACCTGCAGCAGCAGCCGCACTTGGCCCCCTCGGGGCACCTGGGCCCTCGGCCCCGCAGTAGCGACTGCCTCGGTGGCACCGACATGGACTCGTTTAGAGCCTCCCTCCCCCAAGGAGCGCTCGGTGCCTCCCCTTTCCGTGACTGTTCCCACATGGGCCCATCTCCCGGCGTCCAGTCTGGCGAGGCAAAGGGCGTGGCCTCTCGCAGCGAGGGGGTCGGCGGCGGCTGTGCGCTGCAGCGAGACGGCCAGAAGGTGGCCCGCATCTGCCACCAGCAGCAAGCCAGGTCCGCCCAGGAAGCAGCTGCACCCGAGCCGGGGCGGGACGGGAAGCAGAAGCTGGAGATGGTGGCTCTCGGGTACGTAGGTGGGCAGCAGCAGCCGGTGCCCCCCTGGGCTGTGCGAGCCCATCACATGCAGGCGGAGGAGGAGCGGCGGAAAGCCTACCTGGAGTCGCTGGCCAGCATCAGGGCTAGCAGGACACTGGGTCAGCAGCCTCAGCAGCAGCTGGGTGGCATTGGCCCCTCAGCCAGCCCCCGAGGCCCCCAGGGAGAGGTGAGTGCCATCAGAAGTCTCCTGAAGTACAGCAGCCAGCACCAGCCGCACCTGCTGCCCCAGAGGACACCCTTTGGGGGCCTGGGCTGTCTGAAGTCGGGCACTGTCGGGGCTGGCTGCCCCCCCCAGGGCAGCAAGCAGACCCTGCCCTCGAAGAAGGGCCTTGCCCCTAATGGAGACAGGGTGGACTGTGGGGACGGGAGGGGCCGTGAGGCCAGGGATACATCCCACAGGGAGGGGGAGGTGCGCCAGCCTCCCGTTGGCATAGCCGTCGCCGTGGCAAGGCACAGCGAGCCCCCCTGCCACCCCCTGGACGGTCCTTCCGGCCACAACCGGCACGGAAGGGCCATGCCTGCCACAAAAGGTTAGAGGCTCGTGGGGGGGGTTGGGGGGGTGGGGGGGTGATTGAGGCTCACTTCCTCACTGCCGATACACACCCAGGCTTTGATGTCAGAGGTCACATGAGAATCATTGCTCCCCCACAGACGGACCAAGGACAGGCTGTTCATTGGAACCTGATGTGGAGGAAGGCAGGAAGAGGATGTGTGATGAACAGCTGAGCCAGCCATGCATGGAGAGGGAACAGGAGCTTCTAATCAGGTGACTGACACCTCCCTATTCCACCTCGGCCCTCACGTCTGCCTCCCCCACTCCCCCCTAAACCTGTTCCTCGATTGCCGGTTTTCAGGGATAATAAGAAGCGAGTGGAGTTTGCAAGCATCCATCCCTCCAGCAGTTGCCATGGTGACCTCACATCTCACATCATGGTCCCAGGTGGGACTTCTTTGCAGTCTAGCCAAATAGGCACCGACCCCTCTGCACACCATCCGTCTCACCACCACTGGATGCCACAGACAGGAAGTCCTTCCCTCTGGATGGCCGGACATTCCTACGGTGAGTGACATGAATGCGAACCAATGAGCGGCAAGGAGGCTCTCGTGCGCTGTCACTGTGCCAAATCACTGATGTCGGTGCTTCCCTACTCCCGGTTTCAGGGATCGGCCACTCCGCCCTGCACCAGGGCCTCCCCCCCGGCTTCTCGACGCCCCTGCCCAGCACATTGCAGCCAGTGCTGCCCCTGACCCAGGACACCTCCACGCCCCTTGTGGTGCTGCCTGGGGAGCCCGCGGTCCACCCATCTGCCCATCACCTCGGTAGGGCTCACGGCATCCCTGCAGGGTGCAGCTGGCAGCTCGCCCTTTATTGCCCACTGGCTTCCCCTGATGCCAGTGTTGTTAGCTGCAAGTCCTTTGTCGTTGGGGGGCTCCCAGTACTCCAGCCTGGAGTAGCCGGACTCCTCTTCCTTAAGGGGCTGGGCTGTCATCGACTCCCTCAATCAGTCATTCCCCCATAAATGATTGATGGATTTTGGATCACCCCCCCACACCAGCACTCCCCCCCCCCCCCCCCCCCCCCCCCCCCCCCCCCCCCGAACTCAACCCCCGTCCTCCATTCTCCCCCAGATGTGATTGAGCAGCCTGGCTTGTGGCCCCCAGTGTACAGTGCCTGCGGAGCCCCGTCACACATACAACACACCGCAGTCTACTCCCGCTCCCAGTTTCTACGGCAACAGGAGCTGTATGCCCTGCAGCAGCAGCAGCAGCAACAGCAGCAGCGGGCTGCTCATGCGATGGAGCTGCAGCACAGGAGCAACCATGTACAGGTACAGAGAGTGCATGTGAAGCACAAAGATCTCACATAAGGGGCGACATGCATAAGGAACCTGAATTATGTGTGATTGTGTTAATAAAGAGCAGCAGGACAAGTGGACTGATGTCACAGGTACCCCAGGGGTGCTAGATCACAGATCTTGTAGATCCCTTAAATCCCATAGACCTGCAATGTTGCTGCTCTCCCCCCAGATGCAGAAGAAGGCTGAAGATGCCCCCGAGGGGCTGGATATGCTGGTGCCGGAGCCCCCACGCCCCCCCAAGCCCTTCTCCGTGGTGCCGTCACACAGAAAGACTGGCTCGTCGGGGTCATGCACGGCACGCCTGTCCCCCTGCTGTCGCTCTCCGTCCCTGCGGTCCCCCAACACCAAGGGCACGCCGTGCCCCGCCCCCAGCCCAGCAGCTGCCGCACCCCACTCCCCGGCCCTGAGCCCCGCGCTGCTGCGCATGCCGAAGCAGGCCGAGCGCCAGGACATGAGAGTGGAGGGGCAGCCACCGCAGGACTACCCACAATCCCTGGAGCCTGGTAAGGACACGGCTACAGTTCTCCGCAGGAACGTAATCCAGATTGAGGACATGAGGCGTCTGACACTTCATCGCGTTTCCCATCGTCGTGGTTACCGTTTCCATGATACTCCACCTCCCAAAGCTGCTCCTGTCAGACTCCCACTTGCCCGTGTGAATCACCTCCCCAGAGGAGGTCCCCTGAGCCGCACATCCCAACCCCCATGCTGCCGCTCTCCTCAGGCAATAGGGGCTGCGCTGAACTACATCTGCCAGCGGGGGCGCCACACTACCTTAACTCATCTCCACCCATTGTGAGCGGCAAAATAGGGATGTTCAGGGCACTTCAGGAGGAGGTGGGCGCCCTCACCCTGCTAACATAAGACCTCAGAAACCACAGTAATTCAGTCATGGGGTGGGGGGCAATCTGGAGGTGATGGTAAACACAGCTACATAATAATGGCTAGTAAATCAGCCCTGACACCATGGCGATGGTGATGTCACCACGCGAGCAGAGGCATACATCACACCTCACACCATGCAAGCTGCTCACAGCTATTAGCACATTAGGCTTCTGGCTGTCCCAGGACGCGTATGGGGGGGGGGGGGGGGGGGGGGG